AATGTGTAGAACTAAAGAAAGGCTTCCTACCCATCCCAATTTTTTTGAGAAATAATGGAAGGAACATCCTCTAATAAGTCTAACAAAACAACGAAGTGAAGACAAGATTAGACAAGATTGGCTTTCGGGTCAGCAAGCTTTATAGCTTTACAGCCGTTTGCATAATTCCGTGAACACCGAAAATTCTTTTTCTGGGCGTGACGTGACTAGTCACCTGACTAAGCACAGCTTTCCCCTCTTTTCAGAAGTTCAGACGGTCCTGCGCCTCGTTCTTTCGCGTCTCGACCGGCGGAAATGTATAAAAAATATCCCTCCTCAATTATGGAAGGCATACTGGTCCTTTTGTCAAAGGATTAGTTATATTTTGCCATGTTCTCAGCCTTTGTGCATGACTTTTCAAACAAGCCTGATAAAACAGTGGGCCAGGTCTTTATTTAACCCCTCTCCAATGCACTAAGCCACCATAAGTATGTAGCTCCAGATCTTCAGGTAGCGAAGGTGTCATGAATGTAATTCTTCACTTCATTTTGCAAGGGGGTCCTAGGATTAAAAAAGTAGACCTGGGGTCGATTTTTTTTTTAAAGCCCTACTAGCTTGACCTACCTACCTACGTAATCAGGCACGTGTCCATATATGGTAAGATGATGTCATCGTCGTGATCGCTTTGTCCCTATGCCTCACAGGCCTCGCACACCCAATTTCGTGGAACGATTTCCAACGAAATGCAACGTAGATGATACTGGACTATAGGTGAGTGACTTGTAATTTCTGTATGGAATATATTCTTACCCATTGTGTTTCACAGCCAAGCCTCTTACATTCAACAACCCCATCCGATTGTGAGTCCGCCACCATTCCACACAGGCATCCGTTTAAGGCTGGCATTTGCCTCAGAATGCGCTTCCTTTTAGAACAGCCACTTTCTTCCGAGTTGGTACTATTTGCGGCTATCCTGGCGTCACTAACATCGCAGGCGCTTGAGATGGTCTCCAATGGTGGCCCAAGAACGGGGTGCTGTAAGAGAATTTAGTTTTCATAAGGCAGCCTTTTGACTTTTCGAGATCGACTGTTGGTTTGCCGGCTGCACCTTTACTCTTTTTTACAAAATATTGGCAGAGTGGTGCCGGGCAAAGACACAGCCCACACAGTGGTGTCGATTTTGCGATGTGTGGTAGAGGCCAATTTGGGACTGTGGAGCAAAGGGGATGGGACAATCAATGAGGGCACAGGAGCAGGGTGCTTTCAGCTGAAAAATGACAACAACGTTGGTCTCTTGGATTCCTTCTCCTGCTTATGCAACTTATCCTTTGCTTTCCAACAGATTTTCGTGCCGTGATGGTTCTTTTCGAGGTTGGCAAGTCCGACAGCTCCACAGTGTATCCGAGCTTTGCAATCAGGGCATACGGCGTATCCATTAGAATCAAGCACGGGTTGCTAAACAACTTGTCAGTAGCTTCTAATTGATATTTGGTGACTGTACTTCTGTAGTTGTGCCAGCTTCCATTACTCCACTTTTAGGATGGGCTTTGTGATGTTGACACTTGGTGGTGGAGAAAATTTATGATTAGATAAGATTAAAGAAATATTATATAATGCTTGAATATCATTGAATTCTGACTGATCTACATGTTCTGGAGTGTATTGGCACTGCAAACCTGCAAGGTATGGCCTTCCAGGCCT